AAAGTTGCTGATGTTACTGATTTGATGTGGCTATTAAAATTTAAGTCTGAGTCCAGTATTACCCCTATATTTTAGACTTGTTTGAAGGTTTTAGGGAGAGAGACTGTAGGTGACAGATGACGCTCTATCTTTGTTTCTGGGGACCAAAGACAATCGTTTCAGTTTTGTCTGCGTTTAGCTGAAGGAAGTTGTTTTGCATCCACTCACTAATCTGTTGGATACAGTGAGTAGGAGAAGGAGTGAGTCCACTGGTCCATGTTCTCCTGCAGTCAGTGAGACATAGATCTGAGTGTCGTCTGCATAGTTGTGATAGGACACTTCGTTTCTGCGTATTAACTGACCTAACGGCAGCATGTAGTGATTGAACAGAAGAGGTCCCAGGATCGACCCCTGTGGTACTCCACAGGTCAGGGCCATATGATCTGAGACACAGTTTCCAATCTCCACAAAGTACTTCCTGTCCTCAAGGTAAGACCTAAACCAACTTAGGGCGGTGCCAGCAACGCCAACCCAGTCCTCTAATCTCTGTAAGAGGATCTCATGGTCGACGGTGTCAAAGGCAGCACTCAGATACAAGATTAAGATTGAGACTTTGACTGCGTCAGTGTTCAGCCGGATATCGTTTGTAACCTTAACGAGAGCAGTCTCAGTGCTGTGGTGGGGTCTAAAGCCGGACTGAAACATATCAAATGATATGATATTTATCTAGTAGGCTGTAGGTAGACAACCTTCTCAAGGACTTTCCCCATAAATGGCAGATTTGAGATGGGACGATAGTTGTTAAGTACCGTAGCATCCAGCCTGCTCTTTTTTAGCAGGGGCCTGATGACTGCAGTTTTCAGGGCCTTTGGGAATATTCCAGAATGAAGGGACATGTTTACTATCTGTGTGAGTGAAGGTAACAGACTGCTCAGAACAGACTGCACAGAAATCTAGTGGGTAGTACATCCAGGCTGCATGTAGAGGAGCTCAAACTGGAGATTATCTCTTGGACAGTTTTATCATTTACAGGTGCAAAGTGAGTTAGCTCAGAGAGCCTTTTTGGCTGTTGGATGGTTATCTGTGGATTGGAGACAATGGCGTTTTTGATGCCTTGAACCTTGTCATTGAAAAAATTAGCAAACTCATTGCATTTACGTTTGGAAGTAAGCTCTAATGGCATTTGAACAGGGGGGTTTGTTAATCTATTAACTGTTGAGGACAGAACACGCAGATTGTTGCTGCAGCCTTCAATCATTTCAGAAAAATACCTTTCTCTCGTACTACGTAGCACCCGGTTAAACTCGCACAACTTATCTTTGAAGATCTCGTAATAAACCTGGAGGTTGGACTTGCGCCACTTCCGCTCAGCCCTCCGGCACTTTCTCTTTTGTGCCCTGACCGAGTCTGCTTTAGCCCACGGCGCCTTCTGCTTATTTTTCACTATTTTAACCTTCACACTGGGGCAACGGTATCCAGACCATTCAAAACACTTGAGGTGACAGAGTTAAACAGTTCATCTACAGTAGAACACGATGCATTCTCAAAGTTTATCATTCCCATAAATAGATGATAGTAGAGTTGTTGGATTTTCATTAAAGTGAATTAGAATATATTCAAAGTTTAGACAGCTTTGGGTTAACCTACGTGTGTGATGGGATGCAGCATTCTCCCATCCCCCAGTCATGAGTGAAAGACTAGTCTAAATAAGCAGGAAGCCGAAAACATCTGTTTTCAGTAGATCTCATATTTATTTAGAGGGAAGCCACGTCTTCTCTGAGGGAGAGGAAGGTGGGACATATTGTTGCATGTGTTTCAAATTATCATGGTATAAGACCAGAGCTCTTTGTCCATTCTTTGTCACTCTGCTGCTACATCTAGCTGACCCAGACTAGACTGTAGTCTGTAAACTTGTCTGTTTGTGCTGATGTCCAGATAACCTGTAGTTTTGAACCAGCGGCTGACAACATGTATTAAAGAGATCATGTTGTTCAAATGTGACGAGTTATTCACAATAGATCACTCGTATTTTCATTTATGCGCCTTCTTCGAACAGTTGCAGAGTCCACTGGTGGTTTGTTAGTGAAACACATGGCAAAAAAAACACAGAAATGATCCGAAAGAGCAACATCGACCACGTTAACATTTGAAATATTCACCCCCTTAGTAACTAACAGATCTAGAGTGTGCCCTCTGCTGTGGGTGGGGCCACTTACGTGCTGAGTGAGATCAAAGGATTCAAGTACAGAACTCGGCTCATTTGCATTTCTGTCATCAACATAATCCACATGAATATTAAAATCACCTGTAATAACCAAACTATCAAAATCTGTGCATACAACTGAAAGCAACTCGGTAAAATTATCAATAAAACTGTGACATGACTGCGGTGGCTTGTATAGGACAATGAAGAGTACTGGAGGAGATTATTTTTGTCGTATTTTAAAAGACATATATTCAAATGACGAAAACTTCCCAAGAGATATTCTATGAGAGACAAAGTGGTCTCTGAAAATGGCTCCTTTTTTGTTTTCCTGTATTTCAGATTTGAAATTTGGTGGTGATGCTTCTATTAAAACTGCATTTCCTGAATTTTGGTCAAGCCACGTTTCAGCAATGAACATAAGATCAAGATTATGAGAACAAATAAAATTATTGATTAAAAAAGACTTGTTACAAAGAAATCTGACATTAAGCGTAGCAAGTTTCAAAGTTTCAGTATCAGCGGTTGTGGTCGGCTGATTCTTACACGGAACAAGAATTAGATTTTCCAGATTAGACTGATTAACTCCAGATGTCTTTCTGTAATGTATTCTTTGTGTTATCACTAAGGGAATGGCACAGGTGGCTTCATGACAGGGCCCCAGCCGGGTCTCTCCTCTAACTAGACTGCCAGTGGCTGCGAAGCAGAGACCCTGTGCATCCTAGTGTTTAGAGAAAAGAGGGGAAGGGGAAGGCGGGGGAGGAGGGTGGAGAGGTGGGTGGCTTTTGGATGTTGAACGAGGGGGGCAGGGAGGTGGAGGGGTTTTTGGTGATGGGTTAGGGGCGGGGTGGGCTGAGGAACAAGGGGGAAGTGGGGGTGGAATGGTCATGAGGTTAGGGGAGGGACTGGCTGAGGTGGTTTTTGTAGGTGAATTGGAAACCCTAGGTGGTTTTGGAGGTACATATGGGGAGTGGTTTAGCATGTTGGACAGGACTCTAGATCTAGCTAATATGGGTGTGAGAGGAATAGTCTTCATTGCCGATTTTATTATTCCTGCAGAGTGTTCAGGTAGGTCTAACAGTGAAGGCGGGGATGAAAAACAAAGGGACGTGTCCCCATTCTCTCTTGATGGAGTGGACGTGGCATGGGGGACCCAAGACAGGTCCATGGGAGGTGGCGAGGGAGTCTTTGATGGAGGGGCAGGTGGTTGAGGAAACGCCAGCACAGGCCTGTCTGCTGTAGCCTGGGGTGAGGATGGGGCAGTAGAGCACAGTAGAGTGCAGAAAAGAAAAAAAGAATGCAGTATAGTACCATACAGTAGACTACAGTGTAGTACAATATAGTACAGTATAGTAAAGTAGAGGACAGTACAGTAGAGTACAGTACAGTACAGCATAGTACAGAACAGAAGAGTATAGAGTAGCCTTTAACTTAGTTTAGTGAACTTCTCCAGTCAAATGATTTGGATCTGACAAAAACTAAGACATTTTCTAAAGACTGTTCCCAGGGCAGAGACTGACAGCGCTACAATAACACTGCAGAATAATTACAGGATTACATTTTGGAGGTTGTTCTCCACCTGATTTGTATCTTTTATCTGACCTTGGTATTGTTTATCTACGTAGAACAAATCCAAAACATTACAAAGACAGCACAGAACTGTGCGAAAGAAGCAGAAGCTACTCCAGTTTGTGACACAGCTTTTAAGAATAATAATAATCCATCAGTTTTATACAGCGCTTTTCTGGTCACTCAAAGACGCTTCACATGTCATTATTCATTTGATTCATACAGTGTGGCTTACAGTAGTGCTTTATCACCACCGTGCCCTGGGGTACACTGACAGAAGCAAGAAAACTGTACGTCCCTTCAACCCCTCCCACCAACACCAACCACTGTTTTTCCTAAGGACACAACCTCTGTGGCACCTGCTGTTCCCAGTGGTCTCCCATCACAGTACTAACCAGCTCCTGCCCTGCACAGCTTCAGAGGTCTGAGAGGATCTGGCTTTCACCAGCAGGTGGCGCCACACAGCTGGGTCCATGGGGGTCTCACATGAGGGTGGGAGATGGACGACTTTTGTTCAGAAACATTTTCAAACCAAGTCATGATTTCGTCTAAACCTCAAACGAGAGTTATAAACAAATGTTATGGAGGTGAAAACAATGGTTCCTTACAGCTCCAGTTTGCTCCAGGTGCTCCGGGTTCCCTGCCTAAAAACATGTGCAATGGGACTCTGGAGGAAACTGGCCCTGTGATCTGAGTCTGGTGAAGACACGCTGTCGCATTCATGAACAAATAAAAATAATTTAATTCAATAACTTCACATTTACAGTTGGAACAAAGACATTCTCTGAGTACAGACTAAAGACTGCACTGTTCTTTGAACACTTTATATACGTGTGTGTGTGTGTGTGTGTGTGTGTGTGTGTGTGCGTGTCTGCGTGTGTGTGGGTGTGTGTATCTGCATGTGTGTGTGTGTGTGCATGTGTGTGTGTGTGTGTGTGTATTTATGCGTGTGTGTGTTTGTGTGTGCGTTTATAACCTCACCGATGACGAAGCACAGAGTGGCAGAGATGGGCATGACGGCCCAGATCAGGCCCATGGTCGGGTTGTAGACTGCCTCCGCCGTGCCCACGATGAAGCCACCGCCCACCCACGTCGCTATGGAGACAGAGAGACAGAGAAAGAGGCCGAGTGAGGATCACGTTCAGAGGTAACCAAAGCACAGCTACTGCAACTTTTATAACTGTGTCAGCGGCAAGGTCAGGACCGGAGGCTGGAGTGGGACAGAGGCTGGAGTGGGACAGAGGTTGGGATGGGACAGAGGCTGGAGTGGGACAGAGGCTGGGATGGGACAGAGGCTGGAGTGGGACAGAGGTTGGGATGGGACAGAGGCTGGAGTGGGACAGAGGCTGGGGTGGGACAGAGGCTTGGGTGGGACAGAGGCTGGGGTGGGACAGAGGCTGGAGTGGGACAGAGGCTGAGTGGGACAGAGGCTGGAGTGGGACAGAGGCTGGGGTGGGACAGAGGCTGGAGTGGGACAGAGGATGGAGTTGGACAGAGGCTGGAGTTGGACAGAGGCTGGGGTGGGACGGAGGCTGGGGTGGGACGGAGGCTGGGGTGGGACGGAGGCTGGGGTGGGACAGAGGCCAGAGTGGGACAGAGGCCGGGGTGGGACAGAGGCTGTAGTGGGACAGAGGCTGGGGTGGGACAGAGGCTGGAGTTGGACAGAAGCTGGGGTGGGACAGAGGCTGGAGTGGGACAGAGGCTGGGGTGGGACAGAGGCTGGGGTGGGACAGAGGCTGGGGTGGGACAGAGACTGAGGTGGGACAGAGGCTGGGGTGGGACAGAGGCTGGGGTGGGACAGAGGCTGGGGTGGGACAGAGGCCGGAGTGGGACAGAGGCTTCGGTGGGACAGAGGCTGGAGTTGGGCAGAGGCTGGAGTGGGACAGAGGCTGGGGTGGGACAGAGACTGAGGTGGGACAGAGGCTGGGGTGGGACAGAGGCTGGGGTGGGACAGAGGCTGGGGTGGGACAGAGGCCGGAGTGGGACAGAGGCTGTGGTGGGACAGAGGCTGGAGTTGGGCAGAGGCTGGAGTGGGACAGAGGCTGGGGTGGGACAGAGGCTGGAGTTGGGCAGAGGCTGGAGTTGGACAGAGGCTGGGGTGGGACAGAGGCTGGAGTGGGACAGAGGCTGTGGTGGGACAGAGGCTGGAGTTGGGCAGAGGCTGGAGTGGGACAGAGGCTGGGGTGGGACAGAGGCTGGAGTTGGGCAGAGGCTGGAGTTGGACAGAGGCTGGGGTGGGACAGAGGCTGGAGTGGGACAGAGGCTGGGGTGGGACAGAGGCCGGGGTGGGACAGAGGCTGGAGTGGGACTGAAGGACAGGGGACACAGAGGGACATATACAGTGGATGATTGCACACACTCTGCACTGGAAGTGTGTAGACGTGTTCCTTGGTGCTCCGCTGCTTGCTTTGCTTTGTAATCTCTTTTAATCGCTTTATTTACATTTTTATTCTACAAAACACGGATTACTCCTTCTGCAGACTTCAGCTTTGTGAAATTTGTCAACATTAATCATGTCCGGACGGAAGAAACGAAGACAAATCTGCGATGGCTGCTGCTCTCTGGAAAATGAGCTCAAATTTCTTCAAAAACGGATGGATATTTTGGAAACAAAAATGGGACTTAACCCGACTCTTCCAATGTGTGAAAATGGAATGAATGGACAGACTGGAAATGTAAGTTATGATGACGTAATTACTTTTCCCAAAATCAACAAAGAGAACTATTGGAATAAATGCGGCGCTAAACCCAAAGTTGACAAAGCTAAGAATGACAATGGGAGTGGAATTCTGCCACGAAATGTTTGCAAAACTTCAAATCGTTATGCTGCTCTGTTTGAAGAAGCAAAGCCACAGTCTGTTTCTCCCCCTCCGTCAAGGCCACGGTGTTTGCTGCTTGGAGATTCTGCCATTCGGAATGTATCTTTGAACTTTGTACAGACTCATTCTTTGCACTCGGCCAAAGTGTCTGAGATAAGAACTCTGGTGCCAAAAGTTTTATCTCAAACCGAGGATGTAAGTACATTGTTGATACACACAGGGGCAGTAGACATTTATGAGAAATCCACCGAGAAGTTGAGAAGAGATTTTTCTCTGCTGCTGGATGACCTTAAAAAAATGGAGTTAAACGTGCTAATCAGTGGCCCCATTCCAAATGCAGATGGAAAAATCGAGAAGTTTAGCCGTCTGTACCAGTTAAATTCATTTCTACACAATGAGTGTTCACGCAGAGGACTTGGATTCATTGAAAACTTCAATCTGTTCTGGAATAGGCTCGAGCTCTTTGAAGGGAAAGGCCCACATCTGAACAAATACGGAGTAAAAGTGTTGATGGATAACTTTGCATCTGCCTTAACCCTTTAAGCGCCAAAGTCGCAATATTGCGACAAGCAACATTGCTCACTTAAACAGGCTGTATGTAAAAATGTGGTGCAGAATCTTGTTAATACTTTTCACCAGGGGTTAGTAGACATGTGTGCCTGTAATATGAGCAGCATTTGTGGATGTGGTTATATTGAAAGTTTTTGAGTAAATTGAGTTCGTAAAACACCTGCGGCGCTGCGGCGAAGCAGCAGCGGTAGAGCTGAGAGGAGCGAGAGCAGAGCAGAGGGAGAGAGTGTTTTTATTTACTAACGAGGTCTTCAGTACCAGAGAAGTACTTGGTCTGGTACTGGCTCACTCAGATTCAGAGGAGGAAGACACACAGGTGTCCAGTGAAGCAGACACGGACATTATTGGTGACGGGGAGACCGCGCTCCATAGTCCACAATCAGCCCCTGTACAGCGGCTGCTTGTCCTCCGTGTGGCCGCGGTAGAAGCATTCTGTGAACGCCAAGCAGGATCCGTGGTGGAGGGGACAGGGGCATCATAACACCGGGCATGTGGGAGAAAGTAGCGGGGGTAGACATCCACGGGGAACACGGGAGACGCGGGAGAAGTCGCGGGAGAGCCGCGGGAAAAAAACACATCGCTAATCGCGTTCACTGCCTTTACCAACAGCGATGATGAGGATGAAGGCAGTTTTTGAGAGAAAATAATCCACAAAAGTGGATCAGAAGTGTTGAAGAGCCTGTTGTATGTTGTTGAGACGATCTGACAAGTTCTGAGCCCATTCATTTCATCTCTCTGTTTCTAAACGGTAAATCCTGGAGCCTCATTTCCACTGAGAAAAATAGTAAGCCCACTATTTCTCTGAAAGGGAAATATTGAAACCAATCTCAAGATTTCACGACTGTAAACTATATAGAGTGCTGTCTTGATCACTGAAGGTCTTTGAAAATAATACAATTCCATATGGCCGCGAACCAGTGCTAAAACATTAACTATAATCTGGATCAGGGAATTTATTTCTATCCCAAATTCATTTCATACTAAAGATATTTCACATTGACTGTTTATAGTATTCCCTGATCTCAAATAACTCCCAAGCTACAGCTTTTTGAAGTCTTTATACAATAATTAACATTTTCCAAAATGGCCGCCACCTTGATGACGTCACAATATGCAAATTAGATGACGAATCAACTTCCATCCCAAAGTTTGGTTCAAACTGAAGATATTTCTAATTTACAGTATGCCTTTATCTCAAACCATTTTAAAGTTATAGCCTTTTGAAATCTTGAAATCAAAATTGCGCAGGCTGAGGTAAGACCTCAGCCTGCGCAGCGCGTTCAGCCGTTGAAAGAGAGGAGGATACAAAGGGCGAGACCCTCTCCACGGAACCCAGAGGTCTCGGCACCTCCACCGCCTCAAAAGAACTCAACACGTCCACCAGCATCATCATCAGCAAAGGATCCAGCACCAGCAGCAGCAGTGGCTGCCACAGCGTCATCAGCGCCTTCAGCATCAGCACCACCAGACCCAGCTGTGGCTGCTGCATCATCTTCAGCAGCACCTTCCCCACTTACAGCTCGCGTGAAGCCCCCCCAATTGCTCCAGGCTACAGTCAGGCCTGCACTGGGGGCCTCTCAACCACCTCCGTCTCCACCAAAGACTCCCTCATCACCTTCCATGGACCCGGTTTGGGTCCCCCCCGCTACATCCACTCCATCTAAGGAACATGAGGACGACCTTTCCCTGTGTTTTCCATCACTATTGGATTTACCGGAACACTCTGCAGGCATGATAAGATCGGCGATGAAGAATATTCCTCTCACACCCACTGTAGCCAGATCAAGGGTCCTATCTAACATTCATAACTTCTCCCCATACGTACCTCCAAAGCCACCTAGGGCGTCCAACTCAAATTCTCCCACAAAATCCACCCGTCCCTCAAATTCTAACTTGAATTCACCCGCAAAATCCACAGGTCCCTCCCCTAACCCCAAAACCATTCCAGCCCCACCCCCACCCCCCCCTCGTTTCCCATCACCAAGAACCCCTCCACCTCCACTCCCCCCTCGTCCATCTCCCAACTCCTGCCCCTCCCCTAACACCCATCCATCTCCAACCCCCCCTCGTCCAACACCCAAGAACCACCCACCTCTCCATCCTCCTACCTCCTCTCCCTAGGATGCACAGGGTCTCTGCTTCGCAGCCACTGGCAGTCTAGTTAGAGGAGAGACCCGGCTGGGGCCCTGTCATGAAGCCACCTGTGCCATTCCCTTAGTGATAACACAAAGAATACATTACAGAAAGACATCTGGAGTTAATCAGTCTAATCTGGAAAATCTAATTCTTGTTCCGTGTAAGAATCAGCCGACCACAACCGCTGATACTGAAACTTTGAAACTTGCTATGCTAAATGTCAGATCTATTTCTAACAAGTCTTTTTTAATCAATAATTTTATTTGTTCTTATAATCTTGATCTTATGTTCATGGCTGAAACATGGCTTGACCAAAATACAGAAAATGCAGTTTTAATAGAAGCATCACCACCAAATTTCAAATTTGAATCTGAAATACGGGAAAACAAAAAAGGAGGAGGCTTAGCTGCCATTTTTAGAGACCACTTTGTCTCCCATAGAATGTCTCTTGGGAAGTTTCCGTCTTTTGAATATGTGTCTTTTAAAATACAACAAAAACAATCTCCTCCAATACTCTTCATAGTCCTATACAAGCCACCGCAGTCATGTCACAGTTTTATTGGTAATTTTACCGAGTTGCTTTCAGTTGTATGCACAGATTTTGATAGTTTAGTTATTACAGGTGATTTTAATATTCATGTGGATAATGTTGATGACAGAAATGCAAAAGAGCTGAGTTCTTTACTTGATACCTTTGGTCTCACTCAGCACGTGAGTGGCCCCACCCACAGCAGAGGGCACACTCTAGACCTGTTAGTTACAAAGGGGGTGAATATTTCAAATATAAGCGTGGTCGATGTTGCTCTTTCGGATCCTTTCTGTGTATTTTTTGACATGTGTTTCACTAACAAACCACCAGTGGACTCTGCAACTGTTCGAAGAAGACACATAAATGAAAATATGAGTGAACTATTTATGGGAATGATAAACTTTGAAAATGCATCGTATTCTACTGTAGATGAACTGTTTAACTCTGTCACCTCTAGTGTTTTGAATGTTCTGGACGCTCCTGTGAAGGTTAAAATAGTGAAAAATAAGCAGAAGGTGCCGTGGGCTAAAGCAGACTCGGTCAGAGCACTGAAGAGAAAGTGCCAGAGGGTCGAGCGGAAGTGGCGCCAGTCCAACCTCCAGGTTGATTACAAGATATTCAAGGATAAGTTGTGCAAGTTTAACCGGGTGCTACGTAGTACGAGAGAAAGGTATTTTTCTGAAATGATTGAAGGCTGCAGTAACAATTTGCGTGTTCTGTTTTCGACAGTTAATAGATTAACAAACCCCCCTGTTCAGATGCCATTAGAGCTAACTTTCAAACGTAAATGCAATGAGTTTGCTAATTTTTTCAATGACAAGGTTCAAGGCATCAAAAACGCCATTGTCTCCAATCCACAGATAACCATCCAACAGCCAGAAAGGCTCTCTGAGCTAACTTACTTTGCACCTGTAGATGATAAAAATGTCCAAGAAATAATCTCCAGTTTGAGCTCCTCCACATGCAGCCTGGATGTACTACCCACTAGATTTCTGAAGTCTGTTCTGGGCAGTCTGTTACCTTCACTCACACAGATAGTAAACATGTCCCTTCATTCTGGAATATTCCCAAAGGCCCTGAAAATGGCAGTCATCAGGCCCCTGCTAAAAAAGAGCAGCCTGGATGCTACGGTACTTAACAACTATCGTCCCATCTCAAATCTGCCATTTATGGGGAAAGTCCTTGAAAAAGTTGTCTACCTACAGCTCACTAGATTTCTTATAATTAACAACTCATTTGATATGTTTCAGTCCGGCTTTAGACCCTACCACAGCACTGAGACTGCTCTTGTCAAGGTTACAAACGATATCCGGCTGAACACTGACGCAGGCAAAGTCTCAATCTTAATCTTGTTAGATCTGAGTG